ATGTTTTTGTCATCGGTGCGAAAATGAGCTTCGAACAAAGACATTAAATTTTGTTTTAAAATTGGTAAAACTTTTACCGAAACGTTTCAATTGATGAAACAAGTTTATGGCGATGATTGCCTATTCGACGTGTTCGGCCCGAATATCGCAAAGATCTCTCTCCGTCTCATCGATCGACGCTTGTGGCCGATTATTTGACCAAAAATCACATTTTAACAATCAACCACTCCCCGTATTCACCTGATATGGCACCGTGCGACTTCTACCTTTTCGGAAAAAAAGGAAAGCGTTATGCAGACGTGGAGGCCATTCAAAAGGCTTGCACCGGCATACTGACGGCCAGACCGGGAAGCGAGCTGAAACACTCGTTCGACATGCTTTTGGACCGTGCAAAAGCTGTATTAAAGCAGAAGGAGAGTATTTAATTGATTTTGCCGATAAAACCATTTGTTCTGTATTTTTTTTTAAAGGTCCTGTTTACTTTGGAACGCACCTTTAGCACAAAAATTGTGATTTGCATCTTGTGATAGAAATGTTTGCATTAAAAAGAAGGCGGATGCTGCATTCGGGTGACCTTACGCAATAGTTTTGAAATTTAGTTTGGGTACTTGGTGTGAAAACCATAATCCGCCGCGGCAAATACATATTTCAGTAGGGCCTTTTTTATATTTTTGAAATAAATATTTTTGAAATATGTTAAATTGCCACTATAATCAGTTTCTATAACATTATTTTCTCTCGTTAATCGGATTCGTTGGGACTGCTTTAGGATTTTAATTTGCCTATTGACCGGGTTATTTCTACGAAGGCGAACCTGACTATGTCTAAGACGTCTCTGATTTAAAATTTCTTCCCTCATGCCCCTCCTACTAAACTGTCGACGTTGTGTTTCTCTATCACGCCCCTCTCTCCTTATTTTAGGATTTCTTCTTGCATGTTCTCTTTGCAGTTGATGACGAATGCGCTCTAAATTCCGATACTCAGGATTTGTTGCGCGAAGTTCTCTATGATCCCTAGTGTTCTTACTTTGCTCATCATAACGTACCTCTGGACTTTCTTGACGAGATCTATGACCTCGAGTATTTCTTATTTGCTCTTCAGATCGAATTTGTGTGTCGAGTATTTCTGTTTCGCTCTTCAGAGCGGATTTGGGAATTTAGACGTCTTGCCCTATGTTGAACAGTATTTAAATTTTGTTCAAAAGACTGTACCTCAAGATTTTCCCGCCTGGTTCTATGTTGATTTGTATTGATAATTTGTTCGGACAGACGTACATCGGAATCTAACCTACGATTAGCGTGACTTACAGTATCTTGTGACTGCTCACTATCTCTATAAAAAGAGTTTGCACGAAGAACTCTCATACGTCTTATATTCTGAATACGACTTAGTAATACAGATTTTCCAATTAATCTAGGCATAATTAATTAATAATAAATGGCTTAATATATAAAATACTTATAGATAATACTTATATAATTCAGTCCGTCCGGGTGTGAAAAGTTGGATCCTAGGTGCTGCTTTCTTTCACTGTAATTGATTCCTTGCTATGACTCTTTTCCTGTTCGGTGTATAGGTGGTGTAACTGAAACTACAAACACAGTGTACTGATATTTATTATACTCTTGCAACATGTTTCTACAGAGTATAATAGTTTCGTTATGGTATATTTTTGTACACACAGCTTTCGTACTTTTGTATATCTATATATTAGGTAATGTAAAAAGTTCGTTCGGTTTTTTATTGATTTTTCAAAAGATGATAACTTTGTGTGCATTTGTCCGATTCAAGTCAAATATGTGCCGTTTTGTTCATAAACTTGTTGCCAACGAGATGCCAACTTCGTTATACCCCTCTCGTAGAAGGCTGCGTCCCTATTGGCAAAAAACTCGGAGCATCACTATTAAGCGCGTTCGCCATGGACAGGAAAAGATGGTAATCACTTGGTGCCAGGTCCGGACTATAAGGTGGGTGCATTAGAACCTCCAGTATAGTATGACATGATGCGACACGTAACACTAATACTATGGACAATAACTCCATCTCTTAGATAAAAACCGAACGAACTTTTTACTTTACCTTATTATAGTTATTAATATTACTTAGATATTCACTAACATAATAATATATAATATTAAGTTATATTTATATTTTAGAAATTAGTAGTTTATTTCATCAAGTCCAGCACTCGAAGAAACGTTTTTATATTGTTGTCTGGTATCATTTTCACACTGTCGATAGAAGTGCTAAAAGCACTTGTTCTCGGTGAATTTTGCTATTATAGCTTTAGCTTAATCTGCAGATGCCCTCCCTAATGTGATCCTGTATACCAAATAACAGTCTTGTATCTTATTGTGAAGCTTAGTAATGGCGATTTATTCATTTTTGATTAATGGCGTTTTGGGGGCGTGGCTGTGGTCCGATTACGCCCATCTCCAATACCAACCGTCTTACGCTACCAAGAAATATTTATACCAAGTTTCATAAAATTATCTAAATTTTTACTCAAGTTACAGCTTGCACGGACGGACGGACAGACAGTCACCCGGATTTCAACTCGTCTCTTCGTTCTGATCATTTATCTAACTCGATTAGGTTTAGGTGATACAAACAACCATTAGGTGTACAAAACTATTATACTCTGTAGCAACATGTTGCGAGAGTATAAAAATGTGTAGTAAAGTTAGCCGGACGTTTCAAAATCGTAAATATCAGTCATATGGAGGCTACGGCAAGTTTTCGCGAGATTTTATCCACCTTAGGCACAAAGATACACTTTTATTAGAAAAACAAGATTTCTTAATTTCATTAAAATAACTAGCACATACAAATATTTATGTGGCATAAAGTCAGCTGAAAGTTCAAAAATCTTTATATTAGGTATTTAGGGGTAAGGAAAGTATTGACCCGATACAAGCCATTTTTGACAGAAGGGTGTTTTATTATTAAAAAAAACGTTTCCCCGAATTTCAATTATATATCTCACATATTGACCGATATTTTCAGCAAAACCTCAGCCATAGAATCTGGGGTACATATTTACGGCATCTAGACTTGAATAGTTATGATCTGATTTTGACAATTTTTTGACCTGAGATGGCATATCTTAAAGGAAATATTTGTGAAAATTTTGATCCCAGTATATTAATTTGTGCTTGATTTGTATACTGGAAAGTAAAAAAATCAAATGGAATTTAATGTTGTGTTACATGGGAAGTAGGCGTGGTTACTGTCCGATTTCGCTTATTTTCACAATGTAACATAGGATCGTAATGTATGATGTCATTTACCGAATTAGTAGGTAGAGATATGTTTATCGCTGTTTTAGTGGTTTTTAACAAAACCGTTATACGGGAAGTGGTCGCGGTTATCATTCGATTTCACCAAGTTTCATGTTTTTGTAAGAGGTGCCGAAACAATAGTCCCACTTTAAAAAATTTTCAAATCACACCCCTTGACCCTTGTTATTAGAATTCGTTGTACCAAATTTCAGTTTTGTATCTTAATTTGCGGCATTTATGGCAATTTATAGTTTTTCGACTAACAGCGTTTTGTGGGCGTGGTACTGGTCCAATCCCGCCTATCTACGAACTCGTCCTCACTTTGCCAAGGAATACGTGTACCAAGTTTTATTAATATATCATAGTTTTTACTCAAGTTATCGCTTGCACGAACGGACGGACGGACAGACAGTCACTTGGACTTCAACGGGTCTCATCGTCCTTATAATGTATATATATATAACCCTATATCTTGCTCGATTTTTTTGGGTGATACAAACAACCGTTAGATAAACAAAACTATTATACTATGTAGCAACAGGTTGCAAAAGTATAAAAACATATTTAAGATACGATTGACTTAATTGTATGTACGTAAATGTAGATGTAAGATGTTTTCGGCGGCTACTTCAGCGAGAATATTCAAAATGGAGACTTAGACTTAATTATATTTGGATGATAAATACTAACTCGACAGTATATCGGTTAGTTAGCAGTCGGCTTCATCAGGTGATGTTAATTTGGGGTACACGAGTTTCCTAGAACTCTAAAGTTCTGAGCGTCAACGATGGCAAGAACATATTAACTGTTTATTTGGAAGAAAAAAAAACCGAATATTTCAGAAAAAAATAACAAACTTCATTTAATTATACATACACACACATTCTCAGAACACTTTATTAAACGCATTCTTAATACCGAACAAGAAAAAATGTCTACTTCGCACTTGCACAGAAGCTATAATACGCTTCACAGATACAAACATTCCTTACAATAATTTGATTCCGATCTAATCTCGTAAAGATACCTCGTCAAATAAAAAAGTTTTCTATGCACACACTTTACTCTGCTCGTTCAGTTAATTTGGCAGCTTTGTGTCATAGTCATCCGATCCATACAATTTCTTCGGATATTGCATTATTGCCCTAAATAATAATCCGTGCCAAATTTCGTGAAGATACCGCGTCAACTGAAAGAGTTTTCCATACAAGAGCTTGATTCCGATCGTTTAGTTTATATGGCAGCTATATGCTATAGTGGTCCAATATCGGCTGTTCGGACAAATAAGCAGCTTTTTAATGAGGAAAGCACAGGTGCAAATTTTCAGATCCATAGCTTAAAAACTGACGGACTAGTTCGCATATATATAGACTAAATCAACTCAGCTCATTATGCTGATCCTTTATGTATACATTTTATTGGATCTCCGACGTTTCTTTCTTGGTGTTACAAACTTCATGGGAAACTTAATGTACACTGTTCAGGGTATAAAAAAGGTAATGTGCTAATGCCGGAAAATACTTTGCCAACTGATAAAATCTCACATCGTTTGCCAAATTGATTTCATTCTACAAGGAATGGCGTCCAAAACAGAAGTCTGTTTAAATATCAAATTGTTTGCACAGAAAAGAAAAAAAGTATTCTGCATTAACTAACGATTAAGCGCTTAAGCGTCAGTACACAGTGTGCTTACTCATTTCATGGCCTCCCTGTTTTCAGAACTTCAGCAGTGGTATAATCGCAGCAGTTTTCATAATCAAAATGCAATCGAAGATTTCACAAATTCTAGCGGCGCGCGTTCAGACCGCTATGGCCAGGATTTCAGCTTGTTCAGCGCCTATGCCAACAATAAAACTTTCATGAGCTCGCTGCAGCCAGCTGTGGAAAAGGACGGACTCAACTACACGGAGCCAAAGTATTATTTGGGTGAGTGAAACTTTTGAACATTCTGATATAAAATTATAATTTTTTATTTCAAATTATTCAAACAACTCATCGTTGTTCTACTTCCTCTCTTCACTCAGGCGATCTCATACCGGGCACATATTGTTCACGCATTTTCAGCGATTGTGACAGGAAGACATGCCGTCTGCAATCGCCCAACTTCCCTGGTATTTATCCGCGCAACCTGACATGCTACTACGCCGTTCGACAGGTGAGTGTATATTGCAAATCGAATCGAATTCCAAATCCAATATACTGAATTAAAGCAATTAAGCATGCAATTTAGCGTGAAATTCCTAATCAGTACTTAGGATTGCAAGCCAAGAGTTTGATAAAGCTATAAAAACATTCTGATTTAGATAATCACTCACAGCGTGGTGGAACTCACCACCAGCATTGCCGCCTTCAATGGCAAATCGCCGACGAGCTAGGGAACCAAATTGCAGAGAATGCATGGCTATAGCCAAGCGAAACATACAAATTTATTTTAATTCGACTCAGACATTAATTTTCAATTGATTACAAGAGCTTTCTTGTTACCACGGCAAACCAAACTTCCGGTGAGAAAAAGAGAAAAAAATTAAATTGAAAAGAACATACCTCGGAAGAGTGTTAGAAAACACGTTAAATGCACAAAAACCACATTCGAACAAAAACAAAAGTGAGCACTGAGGCAAGGAGACGGTACGCGAAAGTCAAATAGCAGAAACTGAGCACGGAAATCTCGAAAAGCACTCAATGAAATGAACGCCACTCGCTTATGACTAACGATCAAGAATGTCAAATAAATGGAAATGGCACTAAAAGACAGTGGTCGGTAGGTAAATATTTTGAGAAATTTAGGGAAGGAAGCGTACGAGTAAAATATTTTATCTGAAACATAAGTCTTGGATGAAAGCCCGAAATGTATTACCAATATTTGCAAAGAGGATGCGCCGAATGTCTTTGCTTATAATTATGAAACTGATGTAAAGTAAACAAATTCTTTGAAATTACACTATCGCTTTTATCTGACTCGAACCTTTGCGCCCTCAGAACTAAGCATTAGCTGAACCCTTCTCTATAAAGTCATGTATACGCCCAGGTGTGGTGAATTTAATGATAAGTTTAATATATATTCATATCTTCGTATTTGCTTGGCTATCATTTAATGTTTATAAATATTTACTTGTATGTCTTACTGCTATGCCTATTTTCATTCAAAGCAAATAATTTTTCATATTATGAGATTGAGGATTTTCCTCATGTGCTATCCAGCTGTGCCCAATAGCACCATGGCCAAGTGTTCGCTGTTATTTTCAGTTCACAGTCCAGTAATACCAGGTCAAAGTAAAATAGAACAACACACAAATACAGACAGTCATGTTTGCAGAAGATTCTATAATCCCACAGACTTACATGAACGGCCGCACATACAAAATTTTGTCGGTGAAATAAGGTTATAAGCCGGTGTCTGTATTTAACACACAAATTAAATCAGTGGGTAAATAAACGAATGGGCACATGGCATATAAAAAGAAGTTTAACGAGTGATTGACTTCTTTACCACTTACTGTCTCCCAAAACTCGCAATCACATTAGCAGCAGGACATTTCCTTCAATTTGTCCATAGTCATGTCTAGTGTTAATAAGTTTAGTAAACGTCAAAGTTTTTCCCGCAACTAGCACCGTAAAGCAAAATCTTTCAATAGATTTGTCTCTTTGTACATATGGTAGGTAAACCCGGTGGCTATTGAGTTAGGATATATTTAATGGGACTGTAGACAAACGCGAACGAGGTGACAGAAAATAGAAAAAACTATTTTATAACTCACTCTCAATGATTTATGATATCTTCATCTCGGTAACTTACATATATAGTTAAATATAATATACTATTGAATATAATATATGGGGAGACTTGTTACAAAGATAAATATAAGGTTGGCCGTTGTTTCCCTTCCGCTTTTTTGCTCTTCATTCAATACTTTATAAAAAGTGTTACAGTGATCGGATTTAGTTAAAATATGCGCCGTTTTGTTCGATGATCTGTTTCCATCTAGACGGCAACTTCATAATACCTTCCTCGTAGAAGCCCCCCTCCTTATTTGCGAAGAATTCGGACAGCCACTTTTTACAAGCCTCTTTTGAGTTCAACTTCACACCACCAAGGGCATTCGCCATGGACAGGAACAGGTGGTAATCACTTGGCGCTACGTCCGGGCTATATGGTGGATGCGATAAAACCTCCCATCCGAGCTCCCGTAGCTTCTGACGAGTCATCAACGAAGTGTGTGGTCTGGCGTTGTCCTGGTGGAACACTACACCCTTCCTGTTGGCCAATTCTGGACGCTTCTGGTCGATCGCCTGCTTCAAGCGGTCCAGTTGTTCGCAGTAGATGGTAGAATTAAGCGTCTGGCCATATGGGAGCAGCTCATAGTGGATAATTCCCTTCCAATCCCACTAAACACACAGCAAAAACCTTCCTGGTCGTCAATCCCGGCTTGGCCACTGTTTGGGACGATTTTCCGGCCTTCGACCACGACCGTTTTCGCTTGATATTGTCGTTGTGATCCATTTTTCGTCGCCAGTCACCATCCGCTTCAAGAATGGGACGAGTTCGTTCCGTTTCAGCAGCATATCGCAGGCGTTGATTCGGTCCAGAAGGTTTTTTTGCGTCAAATTATGCGGCACCCAAACATCAAACTTTTTTTTGTATCCAGCCTTCTGCAGATGTTTCAAAATGGTTTGGTGACTAACTCCCATCTCCTGGGCGATGTCACGAGATGCCATATGCCGGTCTAACTCGATGTATTCCATGATTTGATCGGTATTTGTCGTCACAGGTCTTCCGCCGGCTGGCTTATCCATGGTGTCGTTTTTACCGGCTCTGAATCGTCGAAACCATTCCTCCGCGGTTCGAAGTGATATAGTACCATCCCCCAAAACACCATTAATCTCACGGAACGTTTCTCTAGCGGATTTGCCTTTAACGAAGGAAAACTTTAAAATAGCGCGAATTTCGGCGTTAGTGAACTCCATGTTTACACGTCTATAACTGTTGAACGCAATATCCAAACTAATCATGCATAGCGTTGTTTTGTAGGTTATGTCAAGACCTTTCTAATTATGTATAGTGTTGCCAGATACGAGCTCTGTAGCGCTTTGTACATAGCCGCGGAATTCAAAAGACAAAAAAGCGGAAGGGAAATAACGGCCAACCTAATATGTAGTGTGCATTTGTAATTACCATAAATAGAACTATTTAGCAAACACTCCTTTATTTTTAATCAAAGCAGATTCTCCAACTAGCGGTTTTGGTGTTATCCGACCAGTTTTAAATCGACTCTGAGGTCTAATTGATTTAATCAGAAGCATTTCTATGGTCTCACAATATTAACAAGAAATCTTAATTTTGTTCACCAAACGGATATTTTATAATAATACATAATCTTCCACCATGACAACGCACCGGCTCATACTCCGCTGCTACTGCCACACCTATCGTATAATTTTGGTTTTCCTATATGTTAAAAGCTCTTGAATTTTAATGAGAAGTTTAGGAAATGTACTTGTATTTTTCAGATCCGTTTTAAAAGTTGGAGAATGGCTCGGTAAAGCGTATTGAGCTAAAAGTAGACCATGCTGAGAAATGAATCGTTTGTTGTTTAATTAAATGTTTCATTAAATTTGTAGAGCAAGTAACTATCAGACTTTACCCTATGCAAAGAGAAACTGAAAAGGGTATAAAAAAATTGACATTGTGATTCCCATCTGATACGAATACTAAGAAATGGTCAATAAAGACTGGTATTGTGTTACTCGTTAGAATTTTAGGTATTCTGAAAAGAATGATGACGTTTACAGACTTAGACAAATATAATATTTGTCGTTTGTGTTATTATTGTGTGTGCATCACCTCCTAGATCACCGAACCGTTTTGAGTTCACCACAAATTTATTAAGGCGGTCAATCAATATCAATCCTAGCCCCTTTGCAAGGTTCTCCAAAAGGGTGTCTACCGAGATATTTCAATCTCAGTCTGGCAAAAGCCGAGTAATAAAGGGAAAGCTTTAATAAAGAGCGTCTATCAAAATATTTAGTCGCAGCGTGTGTGTACCTATTGGACAGTGTCCAGTCAGAACGGCTATAATTGCGACGAGATTGACATTTTTGAGCAAGTAGTTCGGAGGGTCTCTTTCGGTTCACTTTAGAGCAGAGAGATCTCGCAGTTGCACAAGTTCTGATTGTTGACCAGCGCTCACTGGAAGTCTATAGGTCCAGCGCTAGAAATTAAGACAATAAGAATAACCGAATGGCTTCCAATCGGATGAAATTGGAGTGAGGGTGCTCCCTCTAGCAAGCTCAGCGGTCTTGCAGGTTCCAGCGATTCCGCGGTGACCGGGCACCCAGACAATTCGAATCACAAAAAAGCTTGAACCTTTGCTAATGAGGTCGTGCACTCATTGACTGGTTACAGCGGTAACCTGAAACTAGAGTATGCAACTGACTTTAAATAAATACAACTTTGTAATACTTATTTTGATACTGTGTAGCCTCTCACTTTTACTTTTCTACTATACCTGTGTTTTATATACATTTTACCCATTGAAGTTGAATGTACAAAAGTTCTTTAGGTTGCCTCCGCTCTTATCATGTTTCTCCTCCTCTTTTTAGCATTTTAATTACATTTCAATGTAATTTTCTTCATTTTTCTTTTTTTTCAAATTTATCATGTTTCTTTTACTGTCAATTCAATGAGAGCCTTTCAAAGTCTAACATTATTCCTCTTCTATTCACTGTTATCATCTATCATTTTGATGTCATTTCACTTTTCAAATTGCCTCTTCATTTTATTTGATTAAGTTTCTTGTCATGTCCTTGTCCGCACTAAAGTTGGTCAGTTTGTATGGGTGTACTATGTATAAAAAACAGAAAGTACATTAACGCAACATTCCTAAATTTCCAACAAACAAATTAAAAACACTTTTTAAACTCATTGTTGTTACTTTTTCTTATATTTTTAGTTCATTTACGTAGGCGTTCTGGCTGATATATCATTAACTTTCCTCGGTGTGGTCAACCTTCGTCAAACAAAATAACGGCAGTTTTGTTCAAGACGTAATGAAATTAAATTAGAGGCATTTTCTGACCTTTCCCTTAATTTGAGGTTAGGTTTAGCATAGAAGAAAGGTGAAACATATTTAAGGTAGTATTTTTAAAGATCATTTG